CTCGGCCGTCATGGCGCTGCAGGAGGCCAGCGAGGCTTACCTGGTGGGGCTCTTCGAGGACACCAACCTCTGCGCCATCCACGCCAAGCGCGTCACCATCATGCCCAAGGACATCCAGCTCGCCCGACGCATCCGCGGAGAGCGCGCCTGAGTCTCCTGCCGCGGCCCTTCCCCGGCAAGGCACAGAGGCAGCTCACACAGACCCAAAGGCTCTTTTAAGAGCCACTACATAAGTCAATAAAAAGAGCTGTAATCCTGCTTTATAACTACCATAGGTATATTATTGTCACCTTTTTATTAGTGTTCTGCATATAAAGAGTTTTTTGAAAACATAAGTTTTTTAATTTCTGTTGCTCTGGCATGTCTCGGTAGTCCTTTGCACATACTGAAAAATAATAGGTATCTTGTAAACACGGTGTGTGACAGGACTGAAAGCTCCAAGCAAAATGATTTATACATCCTTGTAACTGTCAAACCTGAAAAAAAAATGGAGGGGAATACATATAAAGGCGTGTATCGAATTGGCTAGAGATAAAAGTTGGATCATGCACTCAATGTTCTCCAGTGACTATTAACATTTCCCCCTTCACTCCTCTGATTTTGTCTCAGCTCACCCACCCAGTGAAACTGCTGGTTTTATCAGCACTACAGCTTTATATATATATATATATATGTATATATATATACATTAATATACATTATTGCAAGAATACATAGATTTCTGCTCCAAGATTTTTATAATACTCTTATTGAAAATACCCCCTTCCCCAAAAATGCTCAGAAAATACATAATCTTTCCTGATGTGTTTTATTATATGACAACAAAACTGGACAAACACGATAAGTTATTCCTGTCTACAGTACTCTTCAATCAGTTTCTTGGCCTTTTCAGGTGCTTTTCTGTGCTGCAAGAAAGAAGCCTCAGGTACCCTGTGTCATCAGCGTGGTAGTCCCTCATTTTGAGACCAGCCTTAAAACTGATTTATTGAGGTGGAAATTCTTGCTTCTGGCATTAACAATCGTTGGAACAAGGCAGAAGCCCTTTTTAAGACAATCTGTTTTAGTCAGGTTTGACGGAACCACAGGAAGTTTCTGCTCTTGCTTTAACCCAGCCACCCGCAGACTTTAAGGTGCAGATTTCCTGAGCACAGGGGGCTTTTCCTGGACACAGACTTGACCCTATCCTGTCCCCCCACCGACCGCCCTTCCACCTCCCTTCTCCCTCAAAGCTGTGTAAAGTCCAGCATTGTCACAGGGATGTAGACCCCTCCATCCTGCCTCAGGTTGTCTGCTCAACCCCTCTTTAATATATCGATCTCTGATTTCAGCTCTTTGATTTGTATCTCCTTCCCCTGCCCAGGAGTTCATAAGCACTTGTTATTCCCCTTTAGTATCTGCAAAGTACCGCGGGTGAATTTCAGAGAGAAATATTTAGCCTTGTCAGGCTTATTAAGGAGAATTCTATACATGGAGGAAACAAGAATATAAAACAGGACAGATATAAGAGAAGCTAGGACTTTAGAATAAACGCTCTCAGCCTGAAAATAACTTTTAAAGCTAGCAGTCTAAAAATAGGATTACAGCTCTTTTTATTGACTTATGTAGTGGCTCTTAAAAGAGCCTTTGGGTCTGTGTGAGCTGCCTCTGTGCCTTGCCGGGGAAGGGCTGCGGCAGGAGACTCAGGCACGCTCTCCGCGGATGCGTCGGGCGAGCTGGATGTCCTTGGGCATGATGGTGACGCGCTTGGCGTGGATGGCGCAGAGGTTGGTGTCCTCGAAGAGCCCCACCAGGTAAGCCTCGCTGGCCTCCTGCAGCGCCATGACGGCCGAGCTCTGGAAGCGCAGGTCGGTCTTGAAGTCCTGCGCGATCTCGCGCACGAGGCGCTGGAAGGGCAGCTTGCGGATGAGCAGCTCGGTGGACTTCTGGTAGCGGCGGATCTCGCGCAGCGCCACCGTGCCGGGCCGGTAGCGGTGCGGCTTCTTGACGCCGCCCGTGGCCGGCGCGCTCTTGCGGGCCGCCTTGGTGGCCAGCTGCTTGCGGGGCGCCTTGCCGCCCGTCGACTTCCGCGCCGTCTGCTTCGTGCGCGCCAT